AAAAAAAAAAAAAAATCAGCAACAAATGCTGGTGAGGCTGTGCGGGAAAAGGAACCCTTCTCCACTGCTGGTGGGAGTGTAGACTGGTACAATCTCTATGTAAATCAGTATGGAGATCCCTCAAAAAACTAACTGAAGGTTCCATTTGACCCAGATGTTACCTTCTAGGTATCTTCCTAAAAAGCATACCACAGTGCTAAGTGCATACCCATGCTTATAGCAGCACAATTTATTATAGCTAAATCTTGTTAACAGCCCATATGCCCACCCACAGGTGAATTAATAAAGAAAAGGTGGTATTTAAGAAGAATAAACTTGAGTCGTTTTTAGGTAAATGGATGCACCTCAAGACCATAATATTGAATGAAGTAAATCGGACACAGAAGTTTAAACATCCCATTGTTTCCCTTGTACGAGAACCCCAAAGAGTAAACAAGGAGCATAATGGAGGCTAGACATTGGGAAGTGGGAAGGCGTTCACAGAGGACGGGAACAAGCGAGGGGGCAGGGAGATGGAAAGGAAAAGGATAAAAAAAGAGAATTAGCAAAAAATGGAAACAAAGATCTTGTAAATGGGGAGAGGAAGGATTAAAGGGAAAGGAAGAACTGGACATATTCCATAGTTACAAATTCCCTATGTGATCATTACGTATGACTGGTATATACCAATTTTTTTAAATAAATGTAAAAAAACACCCATCGGGCAGCCGCAACCCTGGAGGACCAGAAAGTCTAAAAGAAGTGACAGAAAGGCAGACCACAGGGACCTCCCCGTAAAAAGGAGCAGCGCGGCGCAGCTGCGCCTGCGCAATGGCGGCCGCGCCCAACCCGAGCGCGCTTCCCTTCCCACGACCTCCCGCCTGCGCCTGCGCAGTGGGACCCGCCTCGCTCACGCCTGAAAAGCTAAGTCTGGTTAGCTTTGCTTCACGACTGATGGGGGGAATATCTGCACGCTCGCCTACCCACTGTCTCTCTCCCTTTCCGGTCCACGAAACTACCAAATAACGTCTAAGTCCCAGTCTCCCCACGCCCCCAGTATCCACTCCTGGCCGTCACCCAGGTGCATTGTGGGAGGGGACGTATGTGGCCACGTGACGCGCTCCCACCAATCGGTGCGCAGACCGCACTTTGCGGCTCGGCTTCAAACACGTTACTGTGAAGCCGGGCGGCCTGCGGGGCCCGCCCCCTCCGCCTGAGTCTGGGGCCTTGCGAGAGTCGCGGGCCTGGGTGGGGGCGCCTGGCGCGGGGGCGGGGCGGCGGGGTCGAGTGACGGCCCGTTTCACCTATTCCGGCGCGTGCTGAGAGCGCGCGCGCCGCGCGGAGGGCCCCGCAGCCAATGGGGGCGGGGGGCGGGGGGCGGCCCGGCCAGCGGGGTAGAAGGGGGCGGGCTCCCAATCCGGTTCCATCCGGTTCTCCACCGCCCCCGCCGTGGGTCCCAGCAGCTCTGGCGGCGGGAGGAGCGGCAGCGGCCAAGCAGCATAGCTCCGCGAGGCTCCCGTGCGCCGCGGCCCGCAGCTTCTGCACGCAGACCCCGCGACGCCAAGATGCCCAAGAGGAAGGTGAGCGCGGTCGCGGCGCGCACGGCCTCCGGCGCTCCCCTGACCGCCTGCTTCCCGCTCCCCGGGCCAAGCCCTGGCCCGCCAGGCCCACGACTGACAGCGCCGGACGAGCAGCGACCGGGGGCCTGCGCTGGGGTGATCGGGCGGGCGCGGGGTCCCGGGCGCGAGTTCTGGAACGTTCGGGGTGGGGGGGGAGCGTGACGTCACTCGGCCGGGCATTGTTCTCCGCGGGGTTGGGGCTGGAGGCGGCGGTCGGGGGGGTTCCAGGCCGCTCCGTACCCATCCCTGTGCTTCTCCTGCAGGTCAGCTCCGCCGAAGGGGCGGCAAAGGAGGAGGTGAGCGTCCGCGCGCTGGCCCGGGGCGGGAAGGGTGGGGAGGGGCGCGCCTTTGGCCTCGGTCGTTCTCGCTGATCGTGCTTTTTCTTTCCCCAAGCCGAAGAGGAGATCGGCGAGGTTGTCGGCTGTGAGTATTGAAACCTTCTACAGCTTTCATTTGCCCGGTGATCTTGCACTCCCCTAGCACGCTCAGCGCTGCTTTTTCTTTTCAGAAACCTGCTCCTGCAAAAGTGGAAACGAAGCCAAAAAAGACAGCGGGAAAGGTAGGTTTCAAAACTTAGACGAGTGGCAAGGAAGGCCGTGGTGCTGCTTGATACCGGGCTTTTGTCGTTGTTGCTTTTTTTCTAATTGAAATTTTTAATGTGCATCTTAATTTCCATAGGTTTGTTTCCGGCTTGGATAAAATGTAATACAGAAATGGAACATTCAGTGTAAACGCTGCTGTGCAACTGTTCAGGAAAGTTAAGGTGTCAAAATATTAAAACAAGAGCTTGAGGCTATAAAGGAAACGTGTTCTCTGTTGTGTGTGCTGTGGTTGCCGGTCCCGTCAGTGCATGCTTGTACTTTTTTTTTTTTTTTTTTGGTACCAGGGATTGAAGTCGGGTCCTTGCGCTTGCCAGGCAGGCAGCGGAACCACTGAGCTAAATCCCCAGCCGAACATGCTTGTACTTTTAACACTAACCGCCAAGCCAGGGCTAGAGCCAGAAGGGGAATGGGAAAGTTTTTATCTGTATATCAGTTCCCTTCCGGCCAAGATTAGAGATCTTTCCTCGCTTAGAGTTGTGTTTACTGAAAACAGAACTATCGGTATTGTGGAAGCCGTTGGAGATGATGTTCTTAGGAATAACTTTGTCCTAAGGGGCTGCTCCAGAAGTGAGTCCAGACTGCGGGGCTTTGGGAGGACTTTCTTCTTGGTGGTCATCCTGTTGGTCACTTTGTAAGTGCGGAAAACAAAATACATGTAAGTTAGGTTTAAGCTTGCTTTTGGGTACAGCGTTGAAACCACTCGGTAAGGCTCTGCACATGCTTCCTGATGTGATTAATTTCTTTACATTCAGAACTTTGGAAAGTTTGCTCTTTGAAGGCTTGAGAAAAAATTTTATGCCTGCATTCCTTTCCTAAAATGTAGATGAAAGCTTAGCACTGCATAATCTCCAGAGGAGATAAGATTAAGACCTTGCTACCCCCAGCTTGAACCACTGGTGGTGCATTCATGACTGTCCTGTGTCCCATCGGGTGGATTGTACTCCCCCGTGGGACAGTCATGCGTGTTGCCCCCTGGGTTCAGAGCTACCGGGCATCCAGATATGAATTACAGCCCCATGGTGAACATCTTGTTAATTTTCTTGGTGCTGAAGGGCCTTGGATAAAACAATTAAGTCTTTGTTTAAAGTTTATTACAAAGCCTTTTACGCACATACATAGAGCTGAATTGTAAGACTTGATTTCTTCAACAAAACATTGTTTTTGCGATTTAGAAAATAAAGTTTCAAAGAAGTAATCATGGCATATCAACTTAGAATTTCTCACACCAGAAAATAATTCAGTAATTCTGTCAGCAGAGTACCCCAGAAACTTATTTTCATGAATGCCCAAAGAAATAGCGAATCTTGTTACAAAATACTGACCTCAGGAATGTATTGAAATTACCCAGATTTGCCAAAAGTTTAGCTCAGTGATTCCGCTGCCTGCCTCGAAAGCACAAGGTCCTGAGTTCGATCTCTGGTACCGAAAGAAAGAAATTACCCAGATTTTTTGCTGCTTTTTATTTTCTTTTGCCTTAAACAATTGGCTAAAATACTTGCCTAGTTCTCTGCTTTTTCTTTTTTCTTTTTTTTGGTACCGGGGATTGAACTCTGGTCTTTGGGCTTGTGCAGCAGGCGGCAAAACCACTGCGCTAAATCACTGGCCCCATTTTTGTCTTTTTTAAAAAAATTCGTGGGCGTGTGTGGGTGTGCTGGGAATCGAACTCCGGACCTTGCACTTTCAAGGCAGGCAGCAGAACCACTGAGCTAAATCTCCAGCCCTTTCTTTTTTCTTTTATTTTTTCTGGATCTTCCCTAAAATGTTTTAAATGAAAGTAGTTGAGAATTTACCCTCTGGGTTTGGGGGAGCAGATGTAATAGTTTTTCTTTTTTCCTCTCAGTGAAAGATCAGTGGGTAAGTTTTTCTGTCAGCATCCCTTGAGTAAAAGTTGGAGAAGCATTTTTTCTTTTTTGGTTTTCCATCTAGCTTTTGTAGTAAACTTTTGTCTTCAGGATTCAACTTTATTAAAGTCTTCAACAGAAGCTCAGCATTTCTTGTTGTACAGATTACTGTGGTAGACACACTACTCTCAAATCACTTTTAGTATAAGTTTCTGACTTACATCATTTCCTTAGAAGTAAATGCTGGTGTCTGAAAGCTTGAAAACTTAGTTTTTAAACTTTTTTCTGTGGGGGGGGGGGTTACTGATGGAACCCAGGACTTTAAGCGTGATAGGCAACCACTGTACCACTGAGCTGTACCCCCAGCCTCTACTTCAGTGAGACCCTTCTCCCCCAGATGGGGATTGAACCCAGGGCCTTCCAGTTCCCAGCCTGGGCTCAGACTGATCTTCCTGGGTCAGCCCCCAGAGTGCTGGATTATAGGCTCAGGCCTATGCCACCTCACCTGATTGATTCTTTCTGTTGGAGACCTTTCAAGCCTATTTAAAAATCTCAAAAGTTTGTCATTTGTGATGGATTAATTTCTATGGTCTTATTTTTACATATTCATGTTAGGGTAGTGGTTGTGAAATTGAGACAAATCTCACTACAAAGAAAGACCTTTTAGGTATAGAAGCAGTTGTGACTCCTGTAGCAGTGTAGTTTCTAATATATTTGTCTATATAATGTACTTATCTTAAGACAGCAAGTCACTGTTGTCATTTTATGCAGTGTAACCACAGGTACACAGATGCCAGGCAGTGATTTTTCCCCTCTTGTGAAGTTGTGAAATTGTGAAATAGATTTGCCTGTCTTGCGGCCCTTTGAGTCAGTACCTGCTCAGTACCCTGTAAGGATCAAAATTCTCCTTACGTATTGATGGGTGGTATCTAAAAACACTTTTATGTTGCTTTAAAATGGCTTAAATTTTGAACTTTATAATGTTTCAGGTTGTACCATCATATTAATACCTATGCCTTTCAGATTCTTCAAACACCTAAATGAAAATGATAAGCCCAAAATTGGTCCTTTTAGCTCTTCATTATGTGATACCCAGGGACTAACTAGCAGGATAGTCAACATGGCTATACAGCATGGTGCTTTCTTCAGGTGAATGGTCTTCGTGTGAGGGTAAAAGTCTTGTCAGGACAATAGTTCTGTGGAATCTTTTTGTCGTTCGTGCCTAAGAGAAATCTGGGGGTTGGTAGGGTCCTGTTGGGTAACACTCCAGGAACCTCTCCACTTTACTTGTCTGTCGTGCAGCTTTAGAGAGCAGTGGGTGATGAAGTGTAGCTCAGGCTGCAGGTCAGCCATCTTGGCTACTGAGGCTTGATGCTCAAGGCCTGCTGTAAATTTTCCTAACATTGTTTTCCTCAGTGCTGGGTTGGGGCTGAAGGTAGCTCAGGTTGAAGTCCTGGTGTGTGACGTAGCCGCTGTCTGCCACAATCTGTATCATGTGGAAATGTGAGTGTGAGGTTATTCCTGAAGATGCCTTCTTACTGTCTTTCAGGATAAATCTTCTGACAAAAAAGTGCAAGCAAAAGGGAAAAGGGGACCAAAAGGAAAACAGGCTGAAGTGGCTAATCAAGAACCTAAGGAAGATTTACCCACGGAAAACGGAGAAACTAAAAACGAGGAGGTTAGAAGTGGCTGAGTGTGTTGATTGGGGTTCTGAACATTAGATCTTTATGAAAGTATATATGTAAATAAGTGGAAAGGTTTATTTTGTTGGTTTGTGTTTACAGTACTGGGGATTGAACTTGGCATTTGCACTAAGTTACATCCCCAACCCTTCTGTTATTTTTGAGACCAGGTTCTTAACTGTGTTGCTAAATTCCCCAGACTGGACTCAAACTTGGTGTGTTCCTGCCTCATCCTCCCAGAGTTCTGGGATTACAGATGTGCACACCACGCCCAGCTAAGAAATGTTAATGTATTTACTATCAACTTTTATGTTCAGGGGATTGAGGGGGTATTTATTTGAGACAGGGTCTCACTGTGTAGCCCAGGCTGGCCTGGAACTTGCAGCAGTCCTGCCTCAGCCTCCCAAGTGCTAGGATTATAGGTGTGCACCACCACACCTGGCTTCTTAAGAAATTTAGAAAAGATTTGATTTACTCACTTTTCTTTCACATGAATGTGAGGGCTTTTTAAACCAATTACTAGTGCTTTTGTTTTTTGTACTTTTCCATTTGCAGCGTGTAGGCTTGAATCTTGATTTGTTTTGAGATTGGGGGGCCTCAAATAGCTGGGACTATATGCACACGCACTCACCCCCCTTTAGCTTTGTGTTTGTTGGGTGCTTGATGCGTATTTCCTGACCTCATAGAGAGAGTGGAGTGGACCTGGTGGTGGATGCCTATAATTGTGAGGTTTAGGCAGGAGGATCTACTTCAAAGCCAGCATGTAGAGAGCATAAGGCCTCCCTGTGTAGTTCTGTTGTTTTGGTTTGGTTTTGGAGGAGTGGTTCTGGGCAGGCACATCATAGCTTTCTTGCCCTTAGCAGCACTACATATATTGCTTGGGGACCAATTTAAACAGCACAGCAGGTTACCCAAGTATGATATTTGTGGCTGTGAGTGGGCCACAGGGAAAGTGCTTTACATACCAGGGCCTAGAGTAGGTAGATTTGCACGTGCAGAACCTAGGGGTGAGGGTCAGGTGTGTTTTCGAGAGTAAAAGTTACATGGCCAGGCATGAGTACTCCCTGTAACCCCAGCACTCTTGGAGACTGAGGCAGGGAGATCACAAGTTCTAACCCACCCTGAGCAATTGAGTGAGTTAGTGAGACCCTGTCTAAAAATTTAAAAAGGGCCAAAGATGCAGAGGCCCTGGATTAAATCCTCAGTACCAGAAAAGATGGTTGTTCTGTAATGTATGTGACACTGAATGCTAATGGTCAGACCAAAGCCTTGAATCAGAAGTTTGCTCACCTCGCTTATTGCCTTTGGTTTGCAGAGCGCAGCCTCTGATGAAACGGAAGAGAAAGAAGCCAAGTCTGACTGAGCACACCGCATCTTATCAGTGCTCCCTGTCTCCCTTCTTGTACAATCCAGAGGAATATTTTTATCAACTATTTTGTAAATGCAAGTTTTTTAGTAGCTCTAGAAACATTTT